ATTATGCTATCTAGATTGACAAAATTGAAGTCGTAAATGACAAAGTTGAAGTGATACAATGCTTCCGTGCAAGCTTAAATGGGTAGATGCATGTAATTTTTGTATTGGCTTATATTGTATCACGGTAAGAATGAACTTCGTTGTGCGAGTGAAACGCAACAGTATTGTTTTCAAAGAGTTGGAGCTGAAGGTTTACGAAGATGGTGGAGGTTTTAGAATCGGGACTGGGAAACCCTACCAAGCAAATTGGTAGAGGAAATCCATCAGCCGTTGAAGGGATGGGGATTTCAAATTATGCAAATTAATATTATTCTAACCTGCTCAACATGTCTATATATTTCTACAAATTTATTTTCTATGTATATTGTATTGTCCCTCCCGTAAGTGAATACAATATTTATTATACTTTTTTGGTAGACATTGTTAAACTTGAACATCATTTATCTCAACTTAAAAGCAGTTGGACCCAAAGTAAGATGACTCTTGTTCCATTCATCTTCCACCATAATTTTTGCTCTAATTTATGATTCAAACCTGTCGCAATCTCTATTTTCTATCATCTATAGATGAAATAATTTGAAGATTCTCAGTCCATTGAGATATCCTCGGCTGGATAAAATCTTCAAATTAGTTTTTTCACAAAGAGGTCCTAACGACAAGTAGTCAACTAGTAGAAAATGGGGTTTCAAATATCATTTGAAAAGGATAAGGACATCAATCCAGATGCTAAATATCAATTACATTGCCGCAAAGCACATGGAAAATGAGCAAACCATACTTGTTTTAAACAGCATCAGAGAAATAACGTTTACTAGGACGACATAACTACCGTATCAAAACTGTAAAAGTAATCTAAAGAAAGTAACAAAACAAGAACTAATCAAAATTCAGAAGAGTTCACTGGGAAACACCCAACCACTTAGAAAAGTTGTCAAATTCTGTATAATCAGAGTCTGAGACCATTGTTTGATACCACGCTTTTCCAGCAGCTCTGATAGCAGAAGCCTCCTCCTAAGATGAAATATGAAAACCAATGTCATTTTAAAGCAACAACAATTTCTAATGTTTAAATGACAAACCTAAAAAACACCAAAAAAAGTAAACAAAAGCCTCGAATTAAACATACAAAACTCAAACAGCACATAACAACGAGAGCCACACAGAATGCGAATTCAGTTTCTAAATAAACCAAGGACAACTGTAATAACAATCACTACAATGCACATTCATTTGATAAAAATTAACATTCAGCAGAATCAGGTTCAATTGGGAAATCATAAGATCACTAACCTTGGAAACAATATTGCGTTTCTGATCAAGCTTTTCCTTCTTAGCAACAAGACGCTGCTTCTCAGCGAGAAGAGCCATCCTTTTAGCGGTCTTAGCATAGGGATTCAGCTTCAACATGACATTGAGGTTCTTCAGAGGGTTCTTCTTCAGAGTAGCGCGCTTAACCTCCTTATTGATGGGCCTCACCACGGACTGAACTTCATCGGAATTAATGATGCGGGCCAAGTCCGAGTTAATCATCTTAGGGCGGGGAAGCAGGTAGCCCTTTTTCTTCTCAAAGACCTTGTCGAAAGACCCATAAATGGAGTCCAATTTCTCAAACGCTGACTTGGTCCAAACAATAAACCTCCCAAGGTGGCCACCGGGAGCAAGCTTCAGAAGGTTAAGCCTGTTCACATTTGCCAACTCAACACCGGGAATGTTCCTGAACGCTTTGACAACTTTAGCACCTTCGGATCCATAAACGATAAGAGGACCCTTGCGTGAAATGTACCTACGGTTCCTCATTTTTCCCTTACCGGGACGAATTCCGTGACTCAGTTTCGCCTTCTCCGCGTCGGGGAACGCACCGATCTTCTGAAGAATTTTCACCGCCTCCTTGGACTTCTCCACACTCTCGATGCTGTCGCTGACGACGAGGGGAAGCTCAGGGACAGACTCGATGCGGTGGCCACGGGCCTGGACAAGGGAGGGGATCGCGGAGGCAGCGATGGCAGAGACCACGGCGTGGCGTTTCTGCTGAACGTTGATCTTGCGGTGCCAGCGGCGCCAGATCTTGGTCGGCGCGAACATACGACCGCCACGGCACATGTTACCGAAGGCGGCCTGGCCAGCACGGTGCGTACCGCCGCCGGGGACGCGAGGGATACGCGACACGGCACGGCCCGTGCCCCATGACTCGGCGGAGGTCTGGTGGCCGGCGCGCTTGCTGACGGCGTAGGGCTGGCGGCTGTTGCGAGAAATGTTGGAGTGGACAAAATTGACAATGTCGGGGCGAATGGGAGCCTTCATGACATCAGGAAGAGGGACGGTGGGGGCTGCATCGCCCTCTAGGGTTTGAACGGAGACGAGAGGCCTTGCTGCTGCCGCCGCCATTGCTGAGGGTTGGTTTTCACAAAACTAGGGTTTAGGGTACTGTCAGCAGAAAACAGAAGAACATAAATTGGTGATTATATATTTATACAGGCCCCTTTTTTGCTTGGCCCAGCTCAGGCCCGTCCACTTGGGAATATGTTTGGGTCATTTCTTTCACCCTCATAATATCCATATACACCTTTCTAAATTTGAAAATTCCAAATTAAGTCATGTTCGCTCCTTTGGGTGTTATACACTTTCATAGTTGTGGTGTGTACGGTGATGTTGTTTCGAAGGGAAGAATGCAACGGGTTGCTAGATTTGTGGCAATGTTAATTTGCGGATTTTTACATTCTAAAGAAAGACCTTCTAAATTAAGTAATTCAATTCAAACCTTTAAATAAAAATTTTTGTCCAAGTGAAAATATCATTTTTGATTATATAATTTAAAAGTCAAATTTGACTTTTAAATTACAAAATATATCTTAAAATATTGTCTAAAGACTTTAGATTATTAAAGCTAAATAAGTCTTTTTCTTCTTATTAGATTGGATATATATATATATATATATATATATATATATATATATATATATATAATTAAGAATAATTTGGTCTTTTTACCACTTCTATATAGGATGTGTATGAAAAGTATGAGGTTGCAGAACGAAATTGCCGTATGTTTGTGCTAATTGGACTTATTCTTCTTCCGTACCCCATTAAACTTTTTTTAATATCTACAATTAGGGCCGGGCATAATTAGTCTAACTGTACTAAACTGTATCTGTACTATAAAAACTAAACTATTTTTATTAAAAACTGAATTATACTGTTTTGCAGTTCAATTTAAAAAACTGAACTTTTATATCTGCAGTTAACTGCTTCAGTTAACCAGTTGCTTGCTTGCTTTATAATACTAAAAACTTAAATAAAATTTAATTGCATAAGTTACATAAAAAAATTGATCAGAAAAACCTTAACAAAATCTATCCATTTATAAATTGCAATAATATAATAATTTTAAGTAAAAATAAATACTTAAATGAAAAATAATAATAAATTAGTATGATATATAATTATGAAAAGTATGATATACAAATATAAATTCATACAAATGACTAAGTTACATGTTTTATTAAAAAAAAATAATTCATACCAATTTGTAAATAGTATTAAATGTGTCTTTTCTTTTTTGTCTTAAAATTATTTCAGAATAAGTTTTGAAAATTAATTTAAATTCTTAAAGTATTTTTTGTTAAACTAACACTTAAAATTGTAATTTTAGAAATTTAATTTAGGATATTTGTTTATTCAAAAACACTTTTCAATAACTTTTATTTAATAAAAAAACAAATAGTTCATTTATTTGAGTTATGATAAAAGTGTGTTTTTTTTATGTTTGTGTTTGATATGTTTGCTTGGTTGTAAAGCTCATTTATTTGAAGTAGTTAACTAGTTAACCGAACTACTAGTTCAAAAGTTCAGTTTTTTTAAATTGAACCATAAACCAATATAATTCAGTTTTTAATAAAAACAGTTTAGTTTTTATAGTACAATATAGTATAGATAATCTATAGTTTAATACAATTAGATTAATTATGTTCAGCCCTGTCTACAATACCTTCCAACAAATAGGTTTGGATAGAGTGATGAAAACTGAGAAATAAAACTAAAAATCGAAGGAGATAATAATACATTAGAAGAAATGCATATAAACAAAAAAATACTTTTATCACAATATTATTTGATTTTTTTTATTTACATAATAATATTATTATTATATTTATATTGTTGCTATTATTTTATTTATATTATATTATTATTACCTTATTTACCTGTTATATTTAAAATATATTTGGAAATAAAAAATACAAGGTGGACTCCATAACTGGTTACAAGCCACATAAATAAACTATTACTTAATTGAGGTTATTTATTAGTGGTAGGAAAATTATAATAAATATAAATATGACTATCTACTTCTCACTTCAACCCATCTTTTTGCGAAAATTTGTTGTTCTGCACCTTTCATCTATTTTCCAATGTTGATCTCCTCCTTTTCATATATTAAATAATACTCACAACATATATTCAAAGAGAGAAAAAAAGTTTGGTATAATTCATTATGTGGGGAAGCTTAATTGATTAGGATTAAATATCAAGGATTGTTGAACAAATTAGTGTTTTCCCTTATATAAACACATGTATATATATCAATACTACATTCCATGCAATGAATAAATTACTACCCTATATACTTTAAAGTGTTCACCATAATTCAAAAAACATGTAGATATTAAACACAATTAAAAAGATTATTTAATAGCATTTGACAATTTTTATAAGATAAAATAATTTTAACAAAAGTTAATTTCTGTATTTCTGATAAAAAATAATGTAAAAGAAATTGGTTTAAAATATAATTATCCTAAATATAATCAACATGATTGTATTATGAGAGCTTTTCGCTATTAAGAATTAGATTTTAAATCTAATTTAATTTTATAAAACTTGTAATTTGAATTTTATTTGAATAATATTATTGTTAATTAATATATAACTTCCAACCCTGTCAATAAAATTTAATGTGCGATTAGCATTCATGAAAAATATTTTTACATTTCTACACAGATGAATAGATTCAAACCATATGAAGCTTTTGTATCCCTTTCTCGTACATTGCCCCCAACAAACACCAGTTTATGGTGACAACTTATTACAGAAGAAATTAGTCAAAGTACCTTTATGCAAATTTATACTGATACGAAAATAGACAAAATTACTACAAAGTCATTTTTCTTCAACTCTCTCCCCCCACATGCATTGTCATGCAGTAAACTGTTTATTTAACTAGAAAGGCTTAGTGATATACCTTCTACTGCATAATCATGTTAAATAGTTATGTCTCTATTTTGAATCGTTGAATATAATTAAACAATGGAAATATAATCACTGCAACACTGTGCACCTTCATATCTTTTTGGTTTTGGTAGCATTTCTAACACTCACTCTCCATGGCTGTGGTTACAAAGGCCGATGATGGTTTTTGTTGCATTTACAAGCTTCGCAATGAGTGTGCTGGTTGAGCAAAACTCTAGTCTTCCATTCAAATTTGATCACTGTAGTAGGAAAGCTACATAACATCAGGGGGAAAAAACACGCACTTGTTCAATTAATGTTTGTTGAGCTGTTTGACATTATAGATCCTTTGTCTATTTCTTGACATCAATTCCTGCCGTAATTCCGTGTTGGCATCGTATGATGACATGGCTTTCCTCTGTACAAAACAATGAAAATGAACTTGAATACTCTAGCATTCTATAATCGTCAAAACAATAAAGAAATTTGATCTCCTTATATTACTTTGGATTAAATATATTTCTTTCCAAATTTATGAAAAATATACTTTGACACAGGCTATTAAACAAACATGATTCATTAAATGGGCACAAATAGCGCAGATAGATATACATGACTGAGACTTATTTGAATTTGAAACTTACAACGGGCACAAAGTCAGGACTAGACAAGTTGAGAGTGAGATTTTTCATCAGCAACAAAACCTGCAGAGCACCAAATATGTAAACCAATTCTTAGTCACACAGAAAAAGAACAATGCTCTGCTACATCGCAACTAAAAGAGATAATAAAAAGCTCAAGGACAGGTAACTCATTATTTTAACAAAACTTTTTACATGCCTTATAATGTTAACGAAGATTACCGATTATGCTGTAAACAAGCCTTATATGTGACGACAAAGCCTTACAAAAAGTTTCATTCTACTCACAGTTTCAAAATTTATAGGATCCATTTCCTTCAGCTTCTGGACATGGCCTTCTGTGTCTGGATCAAAAATACTTCCAATGAAGCTATAAACTTCAGCAAAATCTGGTAAACCTGCGAAATTTGGCCAAAATGAGAATCACCACCAGCTATTAATTTCACTATGCAAGCATATTATGATGAACAAATACATGTGAGATCATTACCATGAAGCACCTGAGTCTGTTTCCCTTGTTTTGGTATCTCAGTAGCAGACAACTTTCTAGTAGAGTTCCCAACATCACTAACGCAGCTATTGCCAATTATTGTCACCCCCTTTGAGCCAATGTCAGCTGAATCAGTGACGTCATATAACATAAACAAGTGGTGGAAAGTTCCATTTAGTACATCTTCATCTCAAACAGAACAATTGAACCAAAAATATGAAAGAATAAAAAGAAACACGCATGCCTTCATCTCCATGAAGATTGGTGAGTTCATCCTGATAGGGCAGTGATCTGTTGGATCCAGAACTCATGAGCAAGAAACTTTCATCCCACGTGGGAGAAACATATGCCAGGGAAGCTGGAAATGGCACCAAAACTGCAAAACCCAGAAAGCAGCATGTCAGGAATGTGCTTGTTGTGCTTTTAAAGAACAGAACATCACAGTATGAAATAGAAGCAAACCATTTTTGGATTCCTTTTGTGGGTATGGATGAACAGCTTTACGCTTAGGACGAGGAGGAGGAACATGTGCTACGGTCCCGTTCTTCTGAACTTTCAGAAAGTACTTCTGGGCGTGACTTCTAATCTGAAGAAAACTCATGGTGAGACAGAGAGATACATATAACAGCATAGCAGAATACACAAATCATGAAAACATAGCTGAAGAACTGCTTCCTAACCTGAATAACTGTCTTTGAACCAACAAAATCCTCAATTTTCTTCCAATCTCTGTCAAATCTGAACAGCCAAAAATGTAAAGGAAAAGGTCAGCAATTCAATAGCAGATTGTGTTTGACACTTCTCTCAAAAACCAAAAAAGAACTGAACCATCAGAACGACCGAAGAATTTGTTGAGTTATGCACCTTTTCTACCCAGAAGTTGAATATAATAAAAATAACTCAATCTAGAATACTGATAAGGAAATAATTTGTGAAGTGAAGCAGCATTATGGTTAAGAATAAGAACTGACAGTTGAAGAGCTTCAAGAAACTTGTCATGCTCCTCCTCAGACCAGCTCTCCCTAGACTTGGTGATGGTATAAGGCTTTCTAACCTTCTTGCCAGAGCCGCTAGAGGGAGTTGAGGGCGCCATTGCCATCGGTTGACAACTTCAACTGTTACTATAGTTAGTGTGACAAATTAAATATAACAAAAGAGAGATGTTATCATACTTCATTTCACTAAATGTTGTTTTGCCTAACTAGTCATTGTTACCAGACTACCAATGAATGCATGTTCTTTTAAACTTTATGCTTGAAATATCCAATCCTTTTCAGTGTTAGATAATGTGGTATATAGCTATAATAGAGTATAAAAGTATCCAACTTTATGAACTAATATTGAATGCTGCTTTAGATTGAAGTCTAATTTCTAAGAAGAGAAAGAGAGAAAAAAGAAGGGATGGCGAGGGTGGATTGGATTGGATTGTGTGGTTAAGTGAGGTGCATATGTGGTAAATGTTAGGTCAGTACCACAAAACCAAACTTGCTTCATGTCCATTTCATCCTCTCATGTTATTGGCATACCCGAAAGGCAAAATTGCCACTTTAATTGTTCCACTTGTGCAAATGGAATTAACAAATTACAATACATTTTAAGAGCTGATCAGAAAACAAGAACATAAACAGCTTTCTAGTAAAAGTTAAAATGTTGTGAAAGCAAAAAATGACGACATGAAAGAGGGTTATATGGTGTCGAATAGTTTGGCGGCGTAAGTAGATTGTGGATAGCACATTAGATAGATAAAGAATGAAGATTAAAGAGAAGATTGGTATAAAGAAAGAAGTTGAAGGGACATGAGAGAGGGGGCAATGTTTTTGTGAACAAGAGGAAATGACAGTGAAAGAAAAGGAGCAGTGGGTCACACCTAATACAAATCATGTGCCACTGCTGCTTCTCTTTTTAGTTCGGTACAAGGCGCGCCAAGACCTATTATTCATTTCATTTGCTCCACCCCAGAACTACAAGAGGATATTTTCTTTTAATGTCCCCAAACATTGCTCTTCGTATAAAAACATGTTCTTGATAATTGGGAGGGTTTGATTAGTAACTTTGTTAACGATGTTGGGGGAGGTTCAACGTAAACATGAGATATTGTGCTGGGCAAACTCTCACAAATTTATTTTTAATATTATTTTAAAAAATCTTTTATTAATGAAAGTATTTATGTATATATAAATTTATGTTCAATTTTTTTTATCCGGATTTTGTTTGTATCTTAACACTTTTAATATATATTTAGGGAGCGAATGATGATGTTCTCGATATTTAAACTACTTTTAAAATATTAAAATAATATTTTTTTAATAGATATAGTGAATTTAGATAACAAATACGGAATATTTATACAAGAATAATCTTATTGGCTTAAATAAGAGTGACAATGAGAAAAAAAAAAAGACAAATGCTTTAGTTTAAGGTTTTATCTATTGTACTATCCACCTCCACGTGTTCTTATCCCCTTTAATCTCTTTGTAATCTTAATTATTTTCCATATTATTTATTTAACATTTAAATACTCTTATATAAAACTCATAAACATATTTTCCTACATATTACATATTACCTCTTATAAGATCATTATAAATAATATTCACATTCCACTAATTTACACTCATCTAATTTTAAAATAATTGGTCACATAAGTGTTAAATAAATCGGTATTCTCATTCCTTAAAGTTTTTATAATAAACTCACATCCCCATAATTTTAGTAAAATTATATTCATTATTCAACTAAGACAATTACTTTTCTTATTTTATTTAAAATTCATACATTGATTAAAATTTAAATAAAAAATATGAACAAAATTAAAAGTTTTAAAATATAAAAAAAAATATTATAAGATAAATCAAATTAATTCTCATACGTTAATAATATATCTAAAAAAGATTATATTTTGACTCCATTACAAATTTTCACATGAAAATATAAAAATTATATTTAAAAAATATAGTGTTTTAATATAAAATATGTATGATTAAATTTATTAACTTATACTTATACTAAATATAATTTTGATACAAATATATAAATATAAACAGTACGAAGGTTAATAGTAGAGGTCACCACAAGTGCACGACCTGCCATAACTCGACATTCATACTAATCCAGATCGTCCAATTTAGGTGTTGACATGTTTAGGATGTTTGGATTGTAATATGTGATTTATGTTTCATGCATGTAATGTTAATGTATTATATAAAGTGTTTTTGTATCACTAGCTTACTTTTGTTTTTGTGTTGTTTGTCTATGTGTTGTTTTCTCTTTTGTAATGAGCACCTTAACCGGTATGAGCTTAGAAAGGGAATATCTTTTCAGTTGATTCATAGAGAAGCAACAAGATAGATAGATTTTGTTTTCAAGAATAGAATCTTGTGCTTTGGTAACTTCAAATTCCTTATAAGTTATCCTATATGTAACGTTTTATTTTAGTAGTTTGATACTATTAAAATGAGAGTTACATACATTAATCATATATCTAAAAAAAATTATATTTTGACCCATTACAATTTTTCATATCAAAATATAAAAATTATATTTAAAAAAATAGTGTTTTAATATAAAATATGTAAGATTAAATTTACTAACTTATAATTATACTAAATATAACTTTGATATATATATATATATATATATTAACAAAATATAAGTATAAATATCTATAAAATAAATAGTAACAAAATATAAGTATAAATATCTATAAAATAAAGAGTATGAAGGTTAATAATAACATACATAATTAAAAAGGTTTATTTTAAAATAAAAATATGAATGATATTTAAAAAATTCACATTTAAAAAAATTAAGAGTGGATGTATTTTTTTTCATAATTAAATCATTCAATTTCTATTTTTAAAATATCTTTGACTTTTATATTATAAAAATTTAATAAGTTTCATATTTTTTAGTTAAATTTTAGTAAGCATAATATTTTCGAATAAAATTAATTAAGAAGTGACTACCTCTTAAAAAACTAGAAAAGTATAACCGTTATTTTATTAGAAACAATGCAAATTTCTATATAGAAGGAAGTACCATATAAAGAACCTTGATAAATATGTCAGTATACCTTTTCTTAATTCTTAATAGTAAACTTAACAGGTTATGTATGAAAAGTGGGAAATTTTGAATGGTATTTACGTAATGGGGTTTGTTTTTTAAAATATTATGAAATTGGATAATTTGTTTATCTTATTTGAAATTTTACGAGGATGCACGACTTTACTTTAAAAATTTTGCCGAGTTAAACATATTTTGATATTTTAATTTTTAGTAAAATTAGTATTTTTTGAAATTTTAATTTAATTTAGTTTTTTAACTCTGAAAATCTTTTAATTTAATTTTTTAACCAAATTTTAACAAAATTTATTTTAAAAAATTAAATGCACATATTTTTAAAATTAAAAAAAAACTAAATTTGATGAAAATTTCATAGAATAATTAATTAATTTTCATTAAAAAAATTAAGAAATTACAAACATATTTAATCAAATTTTCTTTTATTAAAAGTCACGCTACGTGGAATATTTTACTTTTTGCTCTTTATATTTTTTTTATCGTGTTTATTATTATGACTTCTGTTCGTATGATTTTTTTGCATTCAAACTGAAGCCGTGTTTGATATGACGACTTGAGTGTTAATTTTTTTGTTTTACGTGCTTGCTCTAATAATTTTAAATTATTTTTTTTAATTTAATTTAATTTATTAGTTATTGATTTTATTAAGGAAATTAAAATTTATTTAACTGAATAGTTTACATAAGTATATTTTATTGTAACAATATTGTACTTTTTACTTTTTTTAATATTTTAATTAAATAATTTATAGTTAATTATATTAATATAATAAATAACTAAAAAATTAATCGAATAAATACTTTATTATTGTATTAATAGAATGAAAAAATATATTTTAATAGAAATAATAACAAAAATGCAATAGAGTGAGAAAATAAATATTACAAAATGATACATCATTTATATAAATAATTTCTTTAGTTATATGTTGCTTGCGACAATATTACAAAATGTAATAAGAGGGGTCTTGTATACCATAAACAATAGGAGAATTGATATATTGTATAATTGTTTGAGAAAGACTATATCATATAATGATATAATGTTTGTAACCATCTCAAAAGGTTATTTTATAAATTTATTTTATTAAAATTTTCAGTTATTCATTCTATTAATATAAACAATTATGTTCAATTAAATTAACTAAAATATTTATGTTGAAAATTACAACATTATATCATAAAAATATAAAATTTATAGATGAAGGTTGTGGAGGTCGAGGGACAAAAAAGGAAGAACAATTGTGAGGAGGTGATGAATTTGGAGATCCAAATGAAAGGATAAGAAACAGGTGACGATCTTTTTTCCTGGCTTCCACCTGAAAAATTTTGGAATTCAAATTGAAATTCAATTGCATGCAAATGGATGTTTATTCACATCTTTCGTCACCACCTTTCATATCGCATCGTTTCTCTTCTTCACGATACCAACCTTTCAAGCTTCTCTGTTCCAAGGAATCTCAACCGAAAGACGATAACAATAATAAGGGTATACAGTTATTCTTCTACCATCACCATTTTTCATTTTCCCCTAATTATAGTGATGATGAACATGTATGATAGTACTTTAAGAGCAAAATAGAAACAAATATGTAGTTGTAAGAGAAGTTCAATGTATGATTTTTTTTAATCTGAAGCTAAAATATCTCTTTCTGTTTTTGTTGATCAAGTAACGGGAAGAGCATTTTAGATCAAAATTACTGACATAAAAGTGACGATATGTTAGTTTTAGGTTAAAAACATTCATAGATTACCTAAAAGATCAATAGCTAAATTTTGTCTCGTCAGTTTCTGTACAAACAAAATGATCTGGATTTCAATCGTTGTAGTTTTCATTTCTCTGATAATTAGCCAGGATTTAGTACAATGAGAATTTGTCTGCATTACAAAGAAAGGAAATAGAATGAATATATAATCAAACTTTTACTCTTCAACTTGTTTGTTTCCAGAAGAATTGAATCCATTAAACAAAGTGCAGAAGTGACTGCAAGTTATTGTAATTGTTGGTTATGGTTGAATGTGTCAGGTGATAAATCTTCAACAGACTGGGACAAGGCATGGTCAAAATTGAAGAAGCAAGGGGGCAAAAAAGCCTTCTCCAAATTTTCAGATAAGTATGTGAGTTGGAATCCAAGGCGTTCAGAATACCCTCTTTCTGAGGAGGTTGATCCTATTAAGAGAACAGAGAGATCAAACCTCAGATTCTGGAATAGTCCCACTTTCACTCTAGGGGGTGCAATTATTATT